TCTCTCTCTCTCTCTCTCTCTCTCTCTCTCTGTGTGTCTGTCTGTCTGTCTCTCTCTCTCTCTCCCTCTCTCTCTCTCTCTCTCCCTCTGTCTCTCTCTCTCTCTCTCTCTCTCTCTCTCTCTAGTTTCTCGTTGCCTCCCTGGTGTGCGTCCTTATCTAATCTCGTTCACATGTCTTCGCGCACACACGCACGGACGCGCGAGGGAGCGCGCGCGCGCTCAACCACACACAGTGTGCGGGGGCGTTGTAGTGTACAGTGTGCAATGGCTTGCTCACTACTTGCCGCTAATTGTTGTGATCATCTTTACGCGTATGTCTGCTTGCCCATCTCTTCCCTTTTTGTTTTTCCCATGTCGTGTCTCTGCGACGCGATCGACTTTCTCGTTCAGTTTTCATTATGACTCTGCGACTCCCTCCTGTCCTCCCTTTTCCTTTTGTTTTTTTTTTCCGCCTTCCCTCCGGGTATCGTCATTATTGCTGTATCTAGACTCAAAGGTGCCCCAAATACAGCTATAATGACCGACCGTACGTTGTATTCGGGTGTAAACGGCTAGGCCTTGAGCTGCGTGTACGGAGGTTGGTAGTGAACAGACCCTAAGCTGGCTTCACTCACTGACAAGTGTCGGTCAGCAAAACGGATTGGATTGAGTGCCTGAATCCGCACGTGTTTGTGGAAATGTGCACAATCCGATTCTTTTCTTTGTGTCGACGAAAGCCAGGAGAACCTTATTGGCCTAGCTCCCGCTAGCAATAAGGACTGGATGGAGTGCGTGTCTGAATCGGGAGGACGTGTTTGTGGAAAGGTGCACAGAATCGTGATCGAACTGCTTTTCTGCATCTCTGCTTAAAACATGTCTAGATTCAGATGCTTGCTTGATTCAATCCTCTTTGCTGGTGGGACTTCGCCCCTTGTGAATATCATCGGAACATTGGTTTGCATTGAAATGAAAATTGGAAGCTGAAATGTGAATTAAAAATTTGAAATTCAAAGCGGAAATGTGAATTTAAGGAAGTTAATTTGAAATTAAAAACGGAAATGTGAATTTAAGTAAATTTTGTCTGTATAGTCGCTCTGAGTTGTCAAGGACCTTTGCCTTTTTGTCGTTATCTGTTTTTTTTTTTTTTTTTTAATTTGAAGTTAAAAAACGGAAATGTGAATTTAAGTAAATTTGTTTCTGTATAGTCGGTCTAAGCTATCCAGGACCTTTGCCTTTTTGTTTATCTGTTTTTTTTTCCCCCAATTTGAAGTTAAAAGCGGAAATGTGAATTTAAGTAAATTTTGTCTGTATAGTCGCTCTAAGCTATCCAGGACCTTCGCCTTTTTGTCGTTCTGTTTTTTTTTTTTTTTTTTTTTTTGTCATCTTCAAGAACGAGTATCGTGGAAATTGTGAGGATGAGTCTGGCTGTAAAACTCGTCGAATCTGGCGAATGGCGAGTGTATCTTGCCGCTAAAATTGGAAGGATGCACTCGGCGTTTTTCACACTCGTTGCCAGGGGGGCCGCAGGATGTGCGGGGAAGGGGGGGCGCGAGGGGCCGCAGGATGTGCGGGGGAGGGTGGGCGGTGGGCAGTGGGTAGAGTCAGCAAGAAGAGGCAGGGGGGAGAGGCGGGGGGAGTTGGTACTTCAAAAAAATAGAAAAATGTTCTTTTGCAATACGTTTGTTTGTCGTTTTCCGCGCTTTTTTAATTTTATTTTTTGCAATTCATTTGTTAGTCTCTTCCCGCTCTTTATACATTTGTTTGTCATCGAGTCTGCACTTGCCCCTAGACTTACCGTCTTCATCCGAATACAGCGTACGGTCATTATTGGTGTATCTATACTGAAAGTTGCCCCAAATTCAGCTACAGTTACAGCTATGATGACCTTACGTTATATTCGGGTAAAGACGGTGGAACAGAGCGCCCGCCCAGTCATTATATGTCTGCATCTGGGCTGAAAATTGCAGGAAATGCACAGCTATATATATATCACAGTGTGACAATATGTATATACGTTGCCCCCCTGTTCTGTATTATTTGGCTGTGTGCAAGTGGGTCGATATGACACACGGGGGTGGGGGCAGCCGCCGCTCAACCTACATCCACGTGGGCGGCCTTATACGGAAGAGGTTCTGAACAGGGGGAGTTGTAAGGAAGAAGATAAGAAACGAATTCATTCTTTTTTTTGTTCCCTTATTTTTCGCTTTTGCACTCTGATATTCATGTGACGATATATATATACATATTCCCTTGTACTTTCTTTCACTGGATCCCTTTCTCTTTTTCTTGCCTCTGTGAGGTTTGGTTTCCTCCTTTTCTTTTCTTTACCTCGTTTTTGCCTTTTAGCTGCGTGCAAGTGGGGGGTCCTTGTGACACACGGGGATGGATGGGGGCAGCCAGCGCTCAACCTGTCATCCACGTGGCTGGCCTTGTACGCAAGAGGTGATGAACAGGTGGGGCTTTCCTTCTTTTCCTTTCCTTGTTTTGTTTTTTTCCGCCTTTGCGCGCCGATTCACAGTGTGACAGTATATATATCGTGACAATATATGGAAGAAGATAAAAAAAATGATTGTTTTTTTTTTTCTATTCTCTTTTCGCTTTTGCGCTCTGATAATTTTGTGACAACATATATACGGAATATCATTAATAACACAATGACTTCCTACC